TGGTCCTATTCCAGCTATGGGAAGGATAATTGGTGTGGTCAATGCCATTTGGGCACGTTCTGGACCGCGTATTTTTGTTCATCGAATAGGCGATGGAACTTTTCTGTTGAAGGTGATAAGTCCTCGTGTTCGTGAGACAATTCTTAGCCGTAACATGTGGAGTATCGTGGGACATCCGATGTTTGTTGCTCCTTGGTCCCCAGATTTCAATCCTGATACTCCTCCGATTTCTTCGGCTGTGGTGACTGTGGAATTAAGAGGAGTTCCTTATCTTCTGTTCAATAAAGAGAGCCTTGGTAGAATTGCAACCGCTGTTGGGAAGCCAGTTGCACTCGCCCCCGAAACAGCAAGGAAAGAGAACTTTGAGGTGGCAAAACTTCTTGTTCGGGTTAATTTGTTGAAGGAGCTTCCTTCTCGTGTTGTTTCAGGATTTAGTGATGGGAGAGAAATTGATATAGATGTGTCCTATCCATGGCTCCCTCCAAAGTGTAATGTATGCGATCAATTTGGACACGCCACTAGTCTCTGTAGACAATACACGCCGTCTACCTCTGGAAGGAAAGTGACCAAGAGATCCGCTAGTCGAAGAGGCAGGCCATCTCGTCGTGAAAGACTATCTCGAAAAGTCTCTCGTTCCCGTGTGGGCAGGTCCATCACAGCAAATGCTGAAGAAAAAATTCCAATTGGGACTATTGTCGTTAATCCTATTATTGATGTTGAGTCTGCAGTTGGGCCGATTTCTCAACAACCTGTTCTTTTGGTGAGCTCACCTACTGGGTCCAGCCGCAACAATGTTACTGAAGAAGCTGAGCCACCTTTCATTATGGTGTCTCGTCGAAGGTGTGGCCGCAAGGCCGCCTCGCTACACTAACTACCCATTATCATGTATTTTGTATGGAACATAAGAGGACTGAATAGCGGTTCGAGACAGACTATGACTAAGGATTGGATTAATATCCGTAAGCCTCTTTTTGGAGCTTTTTTGGAGACACACATAAGGGAGGTCAATTCGAGGAGAATAGTTAATGCCATTCCTAGTGGCTGGAAGTCTTTTGGTAATTTTGGTCATCATAATTCGGCGAGGATTGTGGTTGTTTGGGATCCGCGTATCTCTTTGGTGGTGTATCAGTCTTCGGCGCAGATGGTTACGTGTGGTGTGTTCTTGCCAGCTGATAATGTGAGTCTTACAATCTCTTTTGTTTATGGTTTTAATCTGGTCGAGGAACGAACTACTCTTTGGGAGGAATTGGTCCATATCAGCTCAACAACTCCTGTCTCGTCTCATCC